GATATGACTATAAAGGAGAACGTGTTTTAATATTTTGAAGATAAGAATGATGATTTCGATAAAAATGTTATCTTCGAGTTGTATTGTTAGTGGAAAAAAGTAAGTTAAATAAAAATTTCTAAAACTTTTATGAAAATTAGCAAATGGTATAAATATTAAAGCTAAAATTAATAGAAATAGACCCCAATTCAAATGAATAAACAAATTTTTCTGAAATAGTTAAAAGAAAGGAGATCTACGTACAGAGTATAATTTTTTTTTATTAACATAAATTAAGTTATTTACTTACAGTAGTTTACACACACATGTAAATTCTACAAAGTTCACCTTTGGGAGAAATGGAATACGATGAATAAAACAAATTTTTGATTCCTGACCTTGAATGGTCAAGGTTAAAATTACGTTACGATGGTCTGTATATACATATATAATTTCGTAACACATATATATCATTTTACACAATTTACAAAATTAACATTTTTATTGAACTTTTTAGCTAATTTCAACGCTTTTATTTATATTTCAAAAAGACAGAACCTTCTTGGTTACACATTATGTCTCTGTTAATATCTGTTGAATAAAGTGTGATTCCTTTTTTGCGGGAGATTAGGGACGACTTATTTTCGTTCCAATTCAATCGAATGTGAAATTGACGTTGCCATAACACTCGCTAAGGGGAACACCATTACTAATAATCGTGCAATAGAGCCTACGTACTTTATGTAACACATCTTCACACTAAATCGATTCAGCAATCAGAGTATCGCGTCAAAGCGTCGTTTGTCGCGCGTCGAACGAACAATTAGCTTCAGTGGTTGATGTTTCATCTTGATCTTGCTGATCAAGAACCGAGAACAACCAACCGATTCTCGGTCTAATTTCAACTCGGCGAAACGTGAACTTTAACTTTCTGTTGTCGTACAATCACACAGCGGAAAGTATGTCGACACCAAACCGGAATCAAGTCAATCGATGTTTGACTATTGTTAGTGCAATATTTAAATACGAATGCTTTTACTTTTAAATTACATGTGCTAGCATTTTAAATATAGTTGAATTTGTAAATAGTATTTTAAATTGATATTATACATTCCATTCGAAAACAGATTGTAAAGTAAAATCTTCTTAGAAATGTTTACTTCAATTGTTTACCACTGTTACATTATATGACCGTTTATACAGTATTTAGGACATATATCAAATTTGAAATTTTTATTTTAATTGGTTGCCATTGTTACCTTGTATAGTGATTTATATAGTATTTAGGATGTAGATAAATTGATTTTCGAAAATTATTGTAAGAATTATGCTGATTATATCGCGTTTGAATTTGTTTAATCGTAATTCGATGATATTTTAGGCGCGCATTGTTGTAAGGAGTTACAGCAGTAGCGTATCCACGGTTAAGATGTACATAGATGGCCAATTCGTAGGTAAATATATTATTATATTAAAATTTGGATAATGTCATTGCATTCAAAATTAAAGTTCGAGTTTATTTATGTACAAATAAAATGATGTGCAAAATCCAATTTCCAAAAGTAAACAAAGAAACAAAAATATTAATTAGTTTGTAAGAATAAATGTAAATTACGTTAAAAAGTTGATCATTTTATTACAAATAAGAATTATAATGCTATAGTTGGTAATTGTACAATTTAGTGAATAATTAATTACTGAAATAATAGATGACATTTTATCGATTTTATGAAAAAACAATACATTCTCTTCAATACAAACAATTTTCAGCGAAGTTGAGTAATTAATAAGTTCTTATATAACTTATGAATGAGATTTTAATAAAATTGATTAAACATTGCGTACATTTATTACGGTGAAGAAAGTATACGATTTTTATGAAATTAATACTCATTGTGTGAAGTGGTCCATAAGCTATTTTCAGAAAAAGTTGTCTATTGTCAGTAGGTATTTAAAGACCATTTCTAAAGACTTTGTTAATCGAAGTTAGTACTGCATGTTCAAGTGCTGTTGAAGTAGACATTGAAACTGAATTGAAAAGGGTCTCCAAACGAATTTAATGCATCGAATCATTTTAACGAGAATCACTTACTTTCTTTGGTCCGCAATTGATGCTATAAACGTACAGTTCATTCATCAGTATTTGTAATTTTATTTTTAATTATTCTGCCTTTTAGAGTATTTTGCAATATTTTTGTGCTATTGATGTAATCATCGTATACATTTGGACAACTTCTGACAAGACACATTTTAAATAAAACTGTATGCATAAAATGTCAATTATAAGTAAAAAAATGTGAGCAACTATATTATACTATATTATATTGATTCTGTAAAGTAAAGGTATGGTACCTACATTCAAACTATTTTATATTGTTATAATTTTGTACTTAAACACATATATTAGTAAAATGTGATTGTTAAAAGACTTCGTATTAATTCTTAAAATGAACTAGAAACACAAAATTTAGAACCTAAATTTGAAAATTAACAACTATTTGATAGGGTAGAATGTACAATTATGTATAATTCTCTGAATACTTTAACACATTGACTATCATATCATACGTTGCTCAAAATACTTTTTTTAATCAGTTTTAGAAACAAATTTT